AAACCTCAATAGAGGGGTAAAGTTTACCTGTGATACAGACATGTCTCCCTGTTGTCTACTGGATCTCCTGTGGGTGTGACCCTCTCCTAGAGACTATCACTTTAAAATGCTAATCAAATTTTAAAATTTTAACAAAAAGTAGTTGAATGAATAGTAGTTTGATATTTTTTCTCTGTCTTATATTTATGGAAAATATGTCAATTTATTTAAAAAGATATCAATTCCTTCAAACACAATGAATCCCAACCCCTCCACCCATGCAAGAAACTTTAAAGACAATGACTAAGAAGACCTGGGTTTGCTGCGATGGGCCAAAGGAGAAAGAAGCACCGTGCTTGCTGAGTCATGGAAATGGCCTGGACTGCTGCAGCTGCATGGACTCACTTATTAGCCTAACACGCCACAGATCTACCTATCTTCCCTCATCGGACTTTCTCGGTACTGAGAATGTGGCCACTTGGGCAGCACAGAGCACTGCAGGGACTATTGACGCTGTGTTTGTAAGACACTCACACATCGGGCTGATGGAGGGTTGTCTTTTTCAGTCACCCCTTAAAGCAGAAGGAGCTGGACTGCCAGGGGCCAAGAACTATTGCCACTTTTTTTTTTTTTTCTAATGTGCACCTTTTTTTTTTTTTTTTTTTTTTTTTTTGTGGCTGCACTTGAAAATTTGCTAATTATTTTAGAGGAAATTAAGACAAGTTTAAAAGTGCTACTATAATTATTAAGCAATTTAATCTATATCTTTTTAAAATCTCTTAGGTCAAGAGAGTTTTCCGAAAACTTCTGCCAAAGTTCCCTAAAATATACTTTTTGCCATACAAAGATATAATCCCAAACAAACTATTTTAGAGAATAAAGAGGAAATAGTCCCTAACTGTGACAGGTAATAACAGACAGGTATTTTCTACATGAAGGACTCGATGTGCTTCTAGTTGCGTTTCAGATGTAACTGGCGGTCCTCTCTCTCTGGAGACAGGCAGCCTATCCTGGAAAGGGTGCAGGAAACTTTCCGAACAGCAGAGACCAGTAGAGGCCAGCTATTCCTTTCATCTATTTATTTGAGAATGAAAACCTCACCTGTAGTGCGGCATTTGCAAATATGCAATATCTGCCAGAATGAGCAACGATGTAATCTTTGGTGTATACTTTACTAACAGCCTATTTGTTAGTAGACATTCCACTTTAGCGAGGCGTCCTGTCTTTTATCTGGCAGCCCTCCCTGGGTAGAAATGCTGAGTTGCTCCAGGCCCTTTTGAAAAATTTTGGCCAAAGTCCCATCCCCCTTTCAGTTGAGGGAATTGACCAAATACTTTATTTTTACACATATGAGGCTGGAAAGGTGACAACAATGAGGTAATGATAGTACGGTGATCTAAAAATATTTTGTTTCATTAAAATTCTCCTTCACTTGCATAAGTGGTGCTTTTCAAGAGAAATATCACTTATTCAATTTTTTTATTCATTCAATAATTATTTATAGAAATCCTGCCAGATGTTAAGACTTCCCAAGTTCAGTCTTGATTGAGGCTGGAATGTTTCCAGGCCCCAGGACAGGAAATCCATTGAGACCCTTTCTGTACTAATACTCAGGAAAGTAACTCCAATCAGCAACCATAGGGATGAAGAACTAATGGTGTGGTTCTCAAATTGTTATTGTCTTGTCTAGGGTGAGGTAAAGATGGAAAGCAGAAATAAGATTTTAGAAAATTTTGTAATAATTTGATAGATGATTTTTGTCTATGGCATTTAAAAATGAGTTTGTATAATAATATATCCACATTTTTGTTTTATATTTTGTTTTTAGTCATTCTTTTAAAAAAGACTAACTTTTAGAATAATTTTAGATTTACAGAATTATATAAATGTGGAGGAGCTTCATAAATTATTTGGAATTTTTTTCTGCATGAAATACTGGTCTTTGCATACATATTAATAGATGAATATAATATTATATATTATTATACATATTATCATAAATAAATATTAATACTATCTTATTTAATAAAAGAGTAATGTGCAGATTGACCATCACTCCAACACACAAGATGACTATCCCCATGTGGTTAAGATGGCTGCCTCCATGTGGACACAAGATGGTCACCACAAGATGGCCAGCAGAGGAGGGCAGTTGGGAGGGACCAGGCCTGCAAGGGAGGGCAGTTGGGGGTGATCAAGCCTGCAGGGGAGGGAAGTTAGGGGTGACCAGGCTAGCAGAGGAGGGAAGTTGGGGGCGACTGGGTTTACAGGGAAGGGCAGCTGTGGGGGACCCAAGCCTTCAAGGGAGGGCAGTTAGGGGTCAATAGGCCTGCAGGGGAGAGCAGTTAGGGCCAATCAAGCTGCCAGGGGAGCAGTTAGGCATCAATCAGACTGGCAGAGGAGTGTTTAGGGGGTGATCAGGCTAGCAGGCAGAAGCAGTTAGGGGCAATCAGAAAGGCAGGCAGGTGAGCAGTTGGAAGTCAGCAGTCCTGGATTGTGAGAGGGATGTCCAACTGCCCGTTTAGGCCCAATCCTACTGGAATCAGGCCTAAACGGGCAATCAGACATCTCTCGAGGGGTCCCAGATTGGAGAGGGTGCAGACTGGGCTGAGGGACACACTCACACGTGCATGAATTTTGTGCACCAGGACTCTAGCCTACACTAATAAAAGAGAAATATTTAAATTGACCATCTCTTCACAACACCCACCAGCCAATTAGGAGTGAGTATGCAAATTAAAGATGGTGGCAGTCCCATTCCCCAGCCTCTCTCTAGGCAGCACTCATGCAGGCATGGAGTGGCCGGGAGGGCAGGGGAGCAGGCGGGCAGAGGGAGCTATAGGAGTGGTGCTCTGGCTGGAGCGAAGACTAAAGGCTCTGGCCAGAGCGAAGATGGAAGGCAGTGGCCAGAGTGAAGGCCTGGGTCCCAGTTGCCAGAGGAAAACTGGTGCTGGCAGTCAGGGGAAGGAAGGCCTATTGCAAGAATCTTTGTGCAACGGGCCTCTAGTATTAACATGTAAGTAATTCTATACTAATTGATTCATGGATATTTGCATTATACTTTTAGTTACAGTACAATACTATTTGATTTCTTTTGTTGCTGAATTATTCCCAGCTTTGGTCCTAAGGAGTGCTTTCAGTTGGGTCCTCTATTCCATTGAAACAATCCCAATATTAGGTTTTTATTTTTACATTTCCTTACTTTCTGACACACTAAGATGCTCTGCTTTTATTTTATACTAGAGGCCTGGTGCACAAAATTCATGCATTCATGCATTCATGCACGGGGGAGGGGGAGGGGTGTCCCTCAGTTCAACCTGTCCGCTCTCCAATCTGGGACCCCTCGGGGGATGCCCTGTGGGATCGGGCCTAAACTGGTAGTTGGACATCTTTCTCACAATCCAGGACTGCTGGATCCCAACCGCTCACCTGCCTGCCAGCCTGATCATCCCCTAACCACTCCTCTGTCAGCTTGATTAATGCCTGTTTCCCTGCCTGCTTGATTGCTCCCAACTGCCCTCCCCTGCCAGCCTGATCACCCCTAACTGCCCTCCCTTGCTGGCCCAGTCACCCCCAACTTCCCATCTTGTGACAATATGGGGTGGCCATCTGTGTGAGGGCGTGAGGGTCAATTTGCATATTACCTCTTTATTATATAGGATTATTATATAGGATGTTACCTTCTGTGTTAGGTTCAACCATTTCTTCAAGAAGCTCTTGTTTCTTTTATTGGAGAATAACATTAGAACCAAGACCAAGGTACAAGGGATGTCCTAGTTTCTGAGTATTATGTTCCTTCCTCACCCCCTTCCACCCTCGATTTATGGAAGTATAACTAGTATACCAAAATGCACATATGTAATGTATACAATTTAGGAGTTTGGATTTATGTAAACACTTATGTTGCTATCACCATACCCAAGTTATTAGGTATTACCATCACCTCTGAGAGTTTCCTTATGTTCTACTATTTGTTTATGGGTTTTTCTTTTTGTGCTAACACACCTAACATGAGATCTACCCTCTTAACATATTTAAGTGAACAACACCTTATTTGTTAACTACGGATGTGATGTTGTGCCATAGATTCTCGGAGCTCTTTCTTCATCTATTGATATGACCGAGGAATTTTTGGCCTTTAGGTGGTGTATTACATTGATTGATTTGCATATGTTGACCCTTCCTGGCATCCCAGAAATAATTCCTACTTGGTCATGGTATATGACACTGTTCATGTTCTGTTGAAATCGGTTTGATAACGTTTTGTTGAGGAGTTTTACACCTGTAACTATCAAGTTTATTAACATGCAGTTTTCTTCCGTTGCGGTGTCTTTATCTGGACAGATTCTTCATCACAAGAATGTGGTGGGGTTCCAGAAGTAAAACCCACGAAAGAGAAGCGACCTCCCTAAGACCACAGCCTCCTGCAGTTTCTCTCTCTTAACCGCATCCACACTCAGTGTTCAGCAATCTGTCACAATTACCGTTTAACGTTCCTCAGAGCTCAAGGCGCCGGCAGCTCCGGCTCCCACAGAAACGAGAAGGCCTGTGCTCTGGGGCCTCGGCAGGCATCAGGGTGATGGGTGCAGGAAAAGTTGTTGGTTTTCAAATTGTTCAGACTTTTTCTTCACGAAGAGGAACAACTTCTAATGCTCTACATTTTAGCTGTTACCACGTCCAAGTAGTTAATATTTTATAAAACCTATGGTCCAATTTAGATTGCAAATTAAAGAGAACCACCAATCCTCTGGCCAGTGATGTCAGAAGTGCCGTCACATAGCATCAGAGGCGAACAGGAACCCACGATGCTGTGGCGCCACACCAGCAGGAGGCGGGTGCAGGAGAGGGCATGTGAATCCCATGTGAACAGGGATTATTGCAAATACGCTGGTGGGGACGTCCCTGCAGTCACTGTCCCAGGGGCCTGAAGGAAACGGAACAAGGGCAGCACCTAGGTTTTCTCCCACACCCACTGATTCCTCAGTCTTGCTATGAAACTGAAATACAAGAATGCACAAGAATTGAGTAAAATATTTATTTCTACTGTCTGGGACTTCAGGCCATGGGACACATGGAAGCCTGAAGTGAGGGTGAGGAGGAGGAAAGATGAGAAAGAAGAGATCCAGGTTGAGGGTGTGTGAAAAATATTCCTTTCTGGCGGGTCCTCACTTGGTCCCACGATGAGCTACATCCCAAACTCAGGCCGCTGGCTCCCACCTGACCTAATTAGTTTTTGTTTTTTAATTTATTTCAGAGAGGAAGGGAGAGGGAAAGAGAGAGAGAAACAGCAATCATGAGAGAGAATCATTGATTGGCTATCTCCTGCACACCCCACACCAGGGATGGAGCCCGCCACCTGGGCATGTGTCCTGACAAGGAATTGAACTGAGACCTCCTGGTTCATAGATTGATGCTCAACCACTGAGCCACACCTGCTGGACTCACCTAATGACTGAACTTGCAGATATAGGGTAACTTCTGAGCACAGTTATTGTTTTTCCATTTCAGATATCCTGGAGAGAGAAAAGATGAATGGGGCTAGGGGATCTCAGAGCTCAAAGGAAAGACATGTAAGCATGTCTAGACTCTGGCCTAGGATTCAAAGCCCTGCCCACATCATCACCAGTGACCTTCTCCAGGAGAAGGAAACTCACAGAGAAAAGAAATGAAAGGAGGTGGGAGAAGACAAACCAACACTGTGTTTTCTGGTTCAGGAGAATTCCCTGAAGGATAGGCCCAGAAACGGGGGACGAGGGGATGGAAAGGTTGGCCAGAAGGTAGCTCTTCTCTTTCTTACCTGCGCTTCGTGACAGGCTCCCGCAGTAGCCAGAATTGGTGGCAGGATTTCTCTCCCAGGCAACGTAATTCATCACATCATTATTGCTCCACTCCCATCCACCTGCATTGGGCTCATAGCCCTACAGAGCAGAGATGGAGCCTGGTAAGGTTGAGTGGTCACTAGAGTTCTTTATGCAGGATCCCTCCGGTGAACACCTGGTCCTCTCCTAAGGATCACGGAATTTGGTCTGCTTTCCCCTTCCCTAATTCCTTGCTCCCATTGGTAAGTCCAAAAGTCAATAATCACAAAGACCAATGGAACCGCTCGGAGTAACATGTTCCCTGCTGGACAATAATTGGCAGCGAATTTATAATTACACCCTGAATCTCAGAGGCCATGGCTATTCTATAAGGAAAAATGAATCTCATTTTCATGTAGGATTTCTCACTGAAGCTCAGAGAACTGAATTACAGGGTGTCATGTCTGAATTGTATACAAATCTCTACCAGAGGCAGATTAACTTCAGCTGGAGACTACTGACCTTCACAGAACTCAGCTCCTCACCTGACCTCCAGACCCTCCCCTTTTCCCAAATGCCCCTGCAGATCTCAAGCTCTGGAGTTCTCTGGGCAGGCGCAGGGCCAGGGGGTGGGCCTGCATGGCCAGAGCAGCTTCAGGGATAATAGGCAGGCGATGCCATCGCACCTGTGTGGGATCATGAAGCCCCATCCAGACGTCTGGGCAACTGTTTGAATTGCTCTTGACCACAGAAGCCAGGAAGGATGCCTCAGAGGGACTGAGCACAGACGCAAGGAACCCCGAGGGTCGCTTCTGGCAGGCAATCTGTGTGGGGAGGAGAGACTGAGGAGGCGGCTGAGACGTCATAGGGATGGGGCAGGGCTGAGGGGTAAGAAGAGGTGTGTGTGTAAAAGATGAGGGTGCTCATCCTCACCCTCAAAAAATCTGGAAAATGGAGGCCATACCCTCCCCATCCTGTCCCAAATGTAATACTTCCACCTGTAAATGCACCTACTCACATCTGCATCGGCCCAGGATTTGGGTGTCATGAACAGAGCATAGCAGTTGAAGCGATAGGAATAGGAGCCTTCGGGACAGGCGCCCCGTGGAGAGTGAAGCTCCTTCTTGGACTCTTCACCTGGGGTGGGTGGAGGTAAGAGAGAGGAATGGAGTGGGACACAGTGTGGGGATGGGTGTTGGGACTGACTTTGGGAATATTTGGGAGCCCGTTCTTGGGGGAATGAACACCAAACTCTTGCCTACCTCTCACCGTTTCCCACACTTTCAGGACTTCTTGATCTTGAACTACCTCCATTAAATGAAGAAGCATCCCTTCCGTTCTACCCTCCCCCTTTAGTCAAAAGTCCAACACTTACCCCACTCTGCGTTGAGGTTCTCACACCAAGCCCTCCTAACACTCTCCTGCCTCTCTCACCCCTGACCCTTCCTGCTTTCTCTCTTCCTCCTGCCCAAGTCCACTCACAAAATGAGAACCATCTCATTCCACTGTGAACGGATCACCGTGGTGCCCCCACCAGGAGTTACCCCGAAGGGGGGAGTGAGGACGGAGGGATGGCAGGCAGTCTCACTGTGTGAGGAGACGCCTCACCATCGCCACGGGCCTCCCGGAGGCTTCCTCCACTTCCTGGCCCTGAGCATTCCCAGGAAACCCCGTGCCGTGCCGGAGGCGGAGAAAGCTCACCTTGCGCCTGAGACAGGAGCAGCAGGCAGGAGAGCAGCACCCAGGACACGCTGGGCAGGGCCATGGCAGGCAGCGCTGTACAATCCCTGTGACTTGGGGAAGCAAGCAGAGATCACTCAGGAAGTGTGGTCAGAGAGAGGGCATGGAGGGACCCCTCCGTTCTCCCTCTTGTCTTTTCCTTTGACAACACGCCTAGAAATAAATTGATCTATCCCTTTTATGATTCTGGAAATACTTGGAGAATCCGTACACCCTCTTATCCCTCAGACTGATGTTCTTTGAAGACCAGAATCCTCCCATAGCCTCTCCCCAAATGTGTGAGGCAAACCCCCGCCATGGCTCTCACCTCCTCTCAGCTCCCACTCACCTGTTTTGCAGGTACTGTGTCTGGGATGGTTGGTCAAGTCAGAGAAGATGCGGCTTTTATAAGAGTCCGAGGGTGTGGCCTTGGAATGAATAGCAGGCACGTGGACCAGGACAGGGGCACCGGGAACGGTTGCAGTTTGGACTTTATCATCCTATGCCTTGTTTTCTTATTCTGAAAAATTTCCTGGAATGAAGGTAGCCTTTGGCACAAATCCTTACGTTATGTGCTTTAGAAATGTGGCATTGAATAGATAAGAAAAACTTTGATACTGTATTTTTTTGCATATGTAGGAATATGTTTCATTTTTTCCTGTATCTATGTTTTTCTTTAAACCTTGTATTTTAAGAATAAATAAAAAGAAATACCTAAGTAAAAGTCAGGTGGGTGTAGAAATAGGAATTATTGCTGAGAACCGAGTATTGGCTGAGGGAAAAGAAACAATTAGAACCAGGGAAGAGCAGTGGTTCAGAGGGGCTGTCACAGGGTCTTGGACTCAGCGGGGAAGCCAGGAAGGACAGCAGGTGAGGCCTTTGGACACTTCACAGCGGCATTCTCAGGCTGTGACCGGCAGACCCTTCCAGGGAAACTGTGAAGTAGTAACTTTCATAACGATACTAAAGTATTCTCTGTCTTTTTTACTGTGCTGACATTCGCACTGTGGGACGAAAGCAAGATGGATCAAACACCGAGCCACACCCACTGGTGAGTAAAAGTTCTGATGCACCAGCATTAATCAAGGCAGCAGCATCAGCCTGTGTTCTCCATGCACTTGCAAGAAACAAGACATTTTTACTGAAAAACTGTCCTGTGTGAACTTGATGAAATGGTAAAAATAATTTTATCAAGTCTGAAACCTTGGATATATTTATTTCAACATTCTCTATGACTAAATGGGAAGTCTGCACAATAAAATATAATGTTTGTCTTAAGAAAACGTATTTGTAACAGTTTTAATCTACAGTTTTCACGAATCACAATTCTTACTTGAAAAATGGACTGAGAGAAAAACTTGTCATTCTATATGGGCATTTTTGGAGGAAGTTTTTTGAAAATGATCAAAACTAGATAGTAAAAAAATATTTTAAAAATAGTTTTAACAGCTAATATTATAAATATCAATAATTCATATGAATAAAAATAGTTTGAGGTCTTTAATAATTTTTAAGTGTAAAAGTATCATGAGGTCAAAACACTTTGAGAACCTCGGATTAACATTAGGCTATGCTCAGGAAGTATCAGGGATGAAGATATTTTATGTTATGACTCCATTTCCTCAGCAAATGAATTTTTACAAATAAAGCGATATTACATTCTTAACATTTGAGAAATGTATCACTCAAATGCAATGTGTGGAGCATGTTTATTTAGATCCTGATGTGAACAGAGCAAATGGAGAAAAATAAATATGATGCTATCGATGGGGAGCTCTCTGTGTCCCCACTGGCTGCTGGTGGAGGTGGGGCCCTTGCAATGTCACCAGAAAAGGAATTTTCTGAGACTCCCATGGGAGAATGAGTGGCATTTATTTGCATGAAGTCACATCCTTGAGTTTCCAAAGTCCCGTTTCCCTTCACCTCACCAAGGAAAAGCCCAGCGGTGTCCTAAGCAGGGCTAAGGTGCTGCCCAGGGTTTCTGTTCCAGCTGCAGCCATCAGTTCACTGAGAGTGGGGTCTGCACGGTGTTAGAAAGAAGGCGAGCCCCCAAACCAGGGCTCCTGGCAGAAGACAAAGGACACTCAGGAGCCAGACAGCAAGGTAATACCTTTCCCCTGCAGGAGGCGTGCACACACAGGGTCTGGCAGCACGCCCACTGAGCAGGCCGTCTGCTCGCAATTTTGTGTCTGACACATGTCAAGGTCATCTGTCCCTCACTCTTGATTGGCCAGAGCTTAGGCTCACATTCTTGAGCCATTGGCTAATTTAAAGGAAAAAGGGAGGGGTTGACCTTTGCTGCTTCAAATGGCGGCCCCAGGAAGCTGTAAGTCACAGGGCCAAAATGGCAGCTGCCTAAAAATCCCTTCTTTGACAGAAAAGATTACTTATTTATTCCCACAACTCCCCACTTTTCTTATTTAACTCTTTTCTTCAAACTTGACTAGCATTCCCGCTCTGCAGTGTTTAAGAGGAGATTATTTTGCTGTTTGGCCAACAGTTTCCATTAACCTTTGCATAAGACCCCTCATGCATGGGATGATTGATACACCATCACTGGAACTCCTAACCTGATCATCAGAGCAGTGAGCATGGATACCATCATTCCCTTCCACTCTCTGAACCATTGCGCTAATGCAGTGGTCGGCAAACTGTGGCTCACAAGCCACATGCGGCTCGAGAGCCATGGTTTGCTGTCTGTTGACTAATGAGTTTGCCGACCACTGGGATAGGGGCTTAATCACAAGGTACAACAACAGCCTGCAATTATTGGAATTGAGAGTATAGGCTCAGTGATGGTCCAGCTGGCTGGGCTGTCAGGAATGAATGTACAACACTGGCCCCCCAACATGACACACACTCCTCCTGTTTCTGCCAGAACCCTTTCCAAGGCCAACCTATTCCCCCAGTCACCCTGCTGGTGCCATCTAGTTGTTTGGCTGTACCTTTATCTGCATCTCGAGTATAGTTAGCAATTCTTTGCTGGTTATAGTAAATATAATGAATCCAACCCACATTCTTGATTACAGTGGACCACCAGAACAGTCAGATTCAAATTCTGCAGCAATCTGATTTCTAGGCTTGAACTCCCTGGCACTCCTCCTGGAACCCCGGTGGGATCTGTGTAAATATGGGGTCAAAGGCGCTCCCTGGCCTCTCTGTCCTCTTCCTAGTCTGTCCGTTGAAAAAGGTTTACAATCTGCCAAAGTGAAGGGGGAAACCAACTGTATGAGTGTGCAAGTTCTGCTCCAGGTGCTGGGCAAGGCCACAAGGAATGGTCCCCATAACACCATCGCACTTCAGCCGCGGGTATCCACAGTGCTTCTGAGGATACCGGCCATTTACACAGCTGGGATAAATTTCCCATAGACTCCAAGTCCTCTTTCCCCCCTTGAGGGACAGGAGGTATAGTTTACATTGGAGGACGGGGCTGGGCGGTTTTGGGGGATCCTTCTCTTTACCTCTATGAGATGGGAACAATGGGGAGAGAGTTTTACAGGAAGCATTTCTCAGGCAGGTTTCTCCTGACACAGAGCAAGCACACATTCCACCCCATTACTGTCTAAGGTCCATCTGAATGGAAATGGGACCACGTGGGCCTCCTGCCTTCCTGCCACGCAAGCGTAACATTCGCTTTCATTTAGGGCATGTACAGAATATTTAGTCTATCCCACCCAGACATTAATTTCCTTATAGCCTACTTCTATTTGCATGGTAGAGGCTGGGGCTACCAGTCTTGGAGCAAACCTTCCTAGAAGATCTTTTCCTGCAACATCTGCTCCTAAACCTAGCCCTGGCCAATCTCTTGGCCTAAAAGCTGAAATATCCAAGTCATTCAAATTATCTAGACTTAACTGGGTAAGCATGATACAGATTGCTGTGCACATTTCCCCAGCCCACATTGTAAAAGCCCCCGCAATTTGCCAGAACCCTAAAGCAAATAGACAGCTTATAGTTTCTTTAGTGTTAATTTCAAGGGGTTATGTCTTGGTATGGCCATCCAAGTTGAGGTGTCTCCACCCAGAGAAGCTGGTGGCCAGCCCTTAACCAGTGCGTGATGGGCCCAACCTTCGTTCTGCAGTCTGAACAGCAGTCTCAGTGTAGGCAAGATAAGGTAGGGTTCTTCCCAGGAGAGTCCAAACTTGTTTCCCTCCATGTCTTGACCAGAACAGTCTCCTGGTGAATGGCGATGAGCCAGGAACTCAAGAGGAGGGGCTTGGGCCAGGAGGCCTTCTAACTTGAGAGAGATTAAAGTAGAAGAGATATTCAGCACATTCTTCTTAAGAACTTGGTCCCTAGTCTCCATTGTACAAAGATCTTGAGGTATCCCAGGGCCTATTGGAATGACTTAAAGCCAATTCTAGGTCAAGAAAGTTTAACTTCAGCCGAAGCCGGTTTGGCTCAGTGGTAGAGCGTCGGTCTGCGGACTGAAAGGTCCCAGGTTCAATTCCGGTCAAGGGCATGTACCTTGGTTGTGGGCACATCCCTGGTAGGGGGTGTGCAAGAGGCAGCTGGTCTATGTTTCTTTCTCATCAACCTTTATAGCTCTCTATCTCTTTCCCTTTCTCTCTGTTAAAAATCAATAAAATATATTTAAAAAAAGAAAAGAAAAAGAAATGAAAGAAAGTTTTAACTTCATTTGTCCTTGGGTGTGGCCAGCAATGGACACTATTTGGATTTCTGCTATCTGTTTCCCTGAGTTTGTAGATATAAGTGATTTGACCTTTGGTTAGGGAAGCAAAATGCAAATCATTTACTGTTAAGTCTCCTTGGTTTACGGAAGACGGGATTTACCGGTAATAATGGCTCCAAATTACTGTTTAACTATCTCAGTTTCCCTGTTCCACTTGTCCTGGCTTACTGGCCTGTGTCATTTATATAACTTCCTTTCCTCCCAAACCTTACAACTTTCAGAATCCACTTTCCTTTTCCTTCAACATGACAACAAAACCATAATTTCTTTCCAATTAGTTAAATTTTTTAACCCTTAGGAACCTTAATATTCAGGTAACATGTTTCCTCAAATTAGCAACACATTCACATTTTAAGAGATCATAAATAATAATAATAATAATAATAATAATAATAATATGCAAATCAATGGAACTGCAGAACAACTGGTCGCTATGATGCTCACTGACCACGGGGGGCAGACGCTCAATGCAGGAGCTGCCCTCTGGTGGTCAGTGCGCTCCCTCAAGGGGAGTGCCCCTCAGCCAGAAGCCAGGCTCACAGCTGGCAAGTGGCAGTGCTAAGGATGTCCAACTGACAACTTAGGCCCACTCTTCAGGGAGTGGGCCTAAGCCTTCAGTCAGACATCCCCTGAGGGCTCCCGGACTGTAAGAGGGTGTAAGCTGGGCTGAGGGATGCCCGCACACCCCCGCAAGTGCACGTATTTTGTGCACCTGGTCTCTACTTTTAAATAAAATACAACGCTTATCATTAGCATATTCAAATC